AAATGAAATGGAACACATAAAGATTGATATCCTAGGCATTAGTGAGCTGAAATGGACCAGTTTTGGCCATTTTGAATCAGGCAACCATATGATCTACTATGCTGGGAATGACAAATTGAAGAGGAATGGCATGGCATTCATCATCACAAAAGATGTTTCAAGATCTCTCCTGAAGTACAGTGCTGTCAGTAGTAGGATAATATCCTTACGTGTACAAGGAAGACCAGTTAATATGACTATTATTCAAATTTATGCACCAGCTACCAAAGCAAAAGATGAGGAAATTGAAGATATTTTCAACTACTGCAGTCTGAAATTGACCGAACATGCAACCAAGATGTGTTACTTATCACTAGTGATAGGAATGCAAAAGTTGGAAACAAAGAAGAATCACCAGTAATTGGAAAATTTGACCTTGGTGACAGAAATAACACTGGAGAACGACTTACTCATTGCATATACCTTTTACTGCTGATATGAATGTAAATTGAAAAACAGGCTGCTGGTTCCTCAAATGCTTAAACCTAGAGTTACCATGTAACTTAGCAATTCCATATATATATATATATATATATACACACACACACACACACACACTAGAGAAGTTAAACGATTTACAAAAACTTGAATACCAATGTTTATAGTAGCATTATTAATAATAGCCAAAAGTGGGACGACCTAATGTCCATCAACTGATGAATGGATAAATAAATAAAATGGTATATGCATACAGTGGAATATTATGTACCATAACAAGGGATGAAGCACTGATACATGCTACAAGCACATGGCTAAAACTCAAAACATTAGGCTACATGTAAGAAGCCAGTCATAGAAGACCTATGTTGTAGATACCATTTATATGAAATGTCCTGAACAGGTAACTTCATAGAGACAATGTAGATAAGTAGGGAGTTGGGGATGAGGGAGGTAGGAGTGGTAATGACTGCTAATGAGTACAAGATTTTTTTTGAAGGGTGATGAAAATGTTCTGAAATTGGATAATTTGAATATACTAAAATATTGTATATACTAAATATATACATTATAGTATAATATTGAATATACTAAAAACCACTTAATTGCACACTTTAAAAGATTGATTTTTATGATATGTGAATTATATCTCAATACATCTCTTATTTTAAAAATACTGAATATTAATAGTCTAGAAAGGCTATTCATGTTCTGGTACTTTCTCTGTAGACCTTTTTGTTTGTTTCTTAAGGAAGACATCTTTTAAGAATAACCAGTGATACTGGTCCTAGGAGTACATCTCATATAAAAAGTTTTGCTCAATTAAGGCACACATGCTATATGTTTTTTACCCACTATCCCCATGCCATGGAAAACATTACTATTGAATATTTATTAAGTTCATCATATATTTAGTGCTTCTGCTGTAATGGATTTTGGTTTCTGAAAATTTTGTTATCCTTGGAGAAAGCACTTTTTCAGCTAGTTAAAAAAAAAAACAAAACACTGCCGTCAAGTTGGACCCAACTCAGAGCGACCCCTCCTTGAGTTTCAGAGGCAGTATCACTACAGAAGTAGATTGCCCAACCTTCCTTCCAGGGAGTGGCTGGTGGGTTTGAACCGCCAGCCTTCTGGTTAGCAGTGAAATGCCTTAGGCACTATGCCACCAAACCTCCTTTCAGCTACTTAATGTGTCAAAAATAACATGACGAAAATTTAGTAGTATTTGGACATGTTGGATTTCCTACATTCTTTATTCATTTTTTTTTTTAACAGATCACCAATTTTAAAGGATTTTGTTAAAAAGATTTAATAGCATCACAAAGAGTTGAGGGTTTTAATATAATTTTAAGTGAAAGTAAAATTGGTGGTGGTATCTAGTTTACTACTTATATATTTGGTTAAAAGTTGGGAAATATGCTTTTGAGATAAAAACAATTAAATCTACCTGTCTTTAAATGCTTTCTTATGCAATAGTGTTTGCAGGATTGGAATGTTATAGTGGTTTTTAATATACACTACTATCCAAGAGAGAAACATATGAATTATTTCCATTTTAAGGATGTAAAAATAGATTTTTTTTTTCATGTTTTACATTTTCTTAAAATGGAAGGTAGGTAGGCTTTAAAACAAAACAAAAACTCATAACTATTTCATTTTGAAAACTGACGAAAAAGCATGTGCATACTCTAAGAAAACATTTTTTTTTTAAATCAAGAGTGTTCCTAAAAATGAGGATCCAGATGGTCAATTCAGACACAGTGTGTAATGCTGTAATTTTTCCTCCTAGTTAAAAGGCTGGCCACAGAGAACCTGCAGTACATGGTAAAAACCTGCCAATTGGGGTCAGAAGGAGAACCTGCCACCCAGCTGACTTCAGTGTTTAGGTAACTGGAAAATATGCCAACTGGCAGGAAGACTTTTGCCAGCCATTTGACAGCCAACATGTTTTTTAAATAACTAATTATCCAAAACATAATGTGTTACTACTTGTTTATAGCATTTTGATTATTGCATTTTTGGCAAAGGTTTGTTACATTGTGTTGTTTTATTAAAAGATAAAAGTACCAGGGAAAAAGGTAAGTGAGTTGACTAAAATTACTTTAAAATTTAGTAAGGAAGAATTTTACAGATAGTTGAGAGAGAAAGTGGGAAAGTTGAGGCATGATGACAGGTGCACAGGCCTTCAGAGCTTGCTAAACATATGAGATGGGATCCAGTGTAGAAGTTCAGGCGAGTGATTTTCTTACTTGGTTAAATAATCTAGACACTGTAAGAGTGGACCTATTGGGAGTAAGAATTATAGTATAACTTGAGGAACAATTTCTGTTTTGTTTTGTTTGTTTCTTTCTTTCTTTCTCACAGTTTTTACCAGTTCACTTTTATAATGCATATTTCTACCTTATCACTACCATGATAAATAACTTGGACCCATTTCCTTCATTCTGTGTTGGATCTTTGACTCCTCAGTTTCTAATCTCATCATATAATTGGCACTGGTCAAGTGTTTACAATTTATTTAAAATGTGATCACTTGTTAATAGTGGATTTGTGAACATGTAAAGACCTAGGAGGGAAGAAAAGGATTTTATATGACAAAGATTAAGCATTTGTTATCTACAGAAATTGTAAGGGTAAAATATAGCATTCTTATTTATAAAGTCCTTCTAGGAGTGTAAAGTCTCTAGTTTACTTAAGAAACATAAAAATATAATCTGAATAATTTACTTTACTCATAAAAATAGTTTTATTCATCTAGATAGAAGAAGGTTTGAAAAATAACTTGGAAATGTGATTCTTTTTTCTCCCTCTTAGTTTCTTCCGTATCCACCATTTGTCAGCTTGTTATGCTGTGGTGGTTTGTGTGTTGCTGTGAGGCCCAAGGCTTTGCTACTGTTGTTTCAGATACCAGCAGGGACACCCATGGTAAATAAGTTTCTGCAGAGCTTCCAGACTAAGACAGACTGGGAAGAAAGATGAGGCCATCCACTTATGAAAAAAATTGGCCATTGAAAACTTTATGAATAGGTTTCTGTTGTACATAGGCTCTGTATGAGTCAGGGTTGACTCGATGGCACCTAGCAACCACAGTACAATCTCTTCCATACCCCCCTACCACTCAGATTTATAGATAAAGAAGATAGTAGAAATGTTCCTGAGGTTAGACTTTTTCATTTTATTTCCCCGGTCTGGGTTTCCAACTCATTCCCCTTCACTGTCGATGCCATCTCTTTCTTTGTGGCTCACTGAAGTAAATAATTTCTTTTCCTTATTTTAAAGTGTTACAGATAATCTTCATATTTCATTTAGATTCTTACAGTTATCGTACATGAAGTTATCTTTCCTGTGTTCAGGTTACAGCTCATTGTCATGTAGATACCAGCCCAAGAAATGGCTCCACAGTAATCAATCCTAAGTAACCTGTTTTACTTTCAGGCTGTTTATCCAGGATTATGGTATGCGATACAGTTACCAGGTTTACAGCATCTTAGGAACAGTAGCAACATTGGACCAGCAAGTTGTTATCTGCTTGATTTCTACCCTCACCCAGTCTCTGAAGGATTCAGAGCTGAAATGTGGTCTTGGTAAAAATATTGCACAAAGGTAGGTTTGCTGATATGATCATGCTCTTTGGAGCAGTGATTATAAAATCTAGACTCATTTTATACAAGTTATTTTCTCATTCCCCAAAATTTGGGGTGTGTTCCTTTGACTTGAAAAATACTGTTTCAATAACTGTGATTGTTACCAGTTTTCTAAAGTATAAGAAAGTAATTCAACTTATCAGTACACTTAGCAGAACTGACACCATTCACATATTGTTCCTTTCAAAGTGACTGTGTTAGAAGGCGATTTGTTTACTTCGGTTGTGCTGCTGTTGCTCAAAACACATTCATTGTTCCTCATTGGGAAGTGGTCTGCAGAACGCTCAGTGTCTTGTTTTCATATAAAAGCCACAGTGACAAATCATAGATTTTTGAGGCATCCTCAGTTTATTGAATCAGCTATATTGTGTGTATCTGGTGAAATAGTGTCTATGAGTTTTGGTCAAAAATAGGTAACGAGGCTTTATTTTTCTTATAGGCTTTATAACCCAACAGCAGATTGTTCCAGACTGTTTAGAATAATTGTAACTCCTAAAAATATTGTTTGAGTAGGGTCAATATTCACACTAGAATTCCTATGTTCCAAACTTTGTTAAAGAATCAAAATATTTTAATTATAGCATAAATATGTGTGTGTGTGTGTGTGTGTGTGTGTGTGTGTGTTTAGCTAACATCAGACTTCTCTGAGTGGTCTTCAAGTGTAATTGAAAAAAACAGATAGTCCTTGTGTGAACTACCCTGTTGTTGTTGTTGTTTG